GGAAAAAGAATGAATGAAAAAGTTATCTATGTTTGAAATTGACGAATGATAGTTTCATGTGGATATTGTGTAATCTTTTATGTAAACCTTGATGTATATATAGCAATGTCCATTACTTTTTGAGTAATGCTATTCATAGTCGTTCATTACAGTAATTGTCCTACGTGACACCCTGCATGGCTGTTTGTGATTTGATGAATTAATGTGGTCGTTTTTTCTTACCTCATATATCAAATCATTAATCTCTACGTACATGTCACGTAGGACGACTGTGATAGCGAGTAACTGCAAATAGCATTATTCTTACTTTTTGAGTAAAAATTTGATTCATTTTGTAAACTTATGAATTCTTGATGAGTTTTGCCATATATAAATTTTGGGTTGAGTGTCAATCTGGATTTACAAATAACATTTTTCATTCTTGATAGGCTTAAAAGCTAGGAATTTGCAAGTATAAGTGGGACAAGAAATCATAAATGGATATTTAGAAAATCGGAAATGGAAGGCAGCCAGACAGGCGGGTCCAATTTTGTCTCTGTGGAGGCGATTATTAATGGAATTTGATACGACATTAATGAAACATATGAGTTATAGGCGCAACACCTGTATATATATATATATATATATATATATATATAGTTTCTTTAATTATAATTTGTTTAAAAGTTATTTATTTATGTCAAAATTTTGAAAGATGTTAGAAAATGAATTATAATTTATTTAAATTTAAGTTGCATTCGTAAGCCCCACCCCGCACCCCAATCCCTTCTTTTTATAAATTAATTGTAATCAACGTGCAATGGACATTATAGATGGCAATCTACAGTGATATAAGAACCTTCTGTTTTAATTTAGTATTCAACTGATAATGATGAGTATACTGGAATAATAATCCATTCATATGAATGTGTAGAACAAGTACGAAAATATCGAAAATGAATTGAGAAGAAAAAATGGAGAGGCTAAAATTTGGCCTTCGCCTGGGTGATTAGGCTAGCGCGATTGCCCAACCTCGTTTTCAATAACCCGAGGCCAAAACTTTAGCTCGTGCCAATTTTTTGACCTTCGGGTTTGAAATTTCTGGTTCGTATATGGACACCTTTTTAGGAAACGAAAATCCATATTTTCATGAATTATTGTAGCCTTTTCGTGGTGTATGAATACGAATTTATATATATGAGATATATTTCATTCTTCTAAACAATAATTAAACCACCAGGAATCGAGATCATTCCATATTGAAAGAGTTTTACAAAGGTATCTTTACATATTTAAATATCCTTTATGTTCTACAAGTTTCAGAAGTAACACATTATTCTTTAAGTGTTTTCTTCTTTTAAATTTGATCAATCCTACAAATCATTTGTCAAGAGTCCCTTTAAGCACCAATTAAATTCTAGAGAGAGTTAATATCATTTCAAGACAACGATCTCGTTTTTGAGCCTGTCTATCATATTTTGGCGTTCTTGATCCTTCTCCAGTTCCCCTTGAAGGATAATATTTCAACACCTTCTGTTTAATAAAACCATATCCACGAAGGGCAGATGTTTCACTTCCAGCTTGAAAATTTTTTTGGTCCTGAGTCTATCCATATATTCACGTATATTCTTCTTCCGTACATACATGATTGATTGATACATCAGAAGGAAGTTTATGTACATACGAAGTAAACATCAGCTTTAGACCTAATTACCGGCACATTGTCCATAATTTTTCCGTGTTATTTGGTAGGCATAACCTTTTAGACTATACAAAGACAAACACGAAATCGGCTATCAAAATTTAAAACTTGAGTCAAAACTCAAAAGTAAAGACCCCCCTACCCCAACCCTCAAGAGTCCATATTTTCGGCACCCAGTTGGTTCCAATAAGCAAAAGTCAAAACACGTGCATACCAGGCTTTGGATTATCTCAAATTTTGGATCGAGTGGCCGGATCGAGTTGAGCTAACTCAGCTTTATGGACGAACTAAGATCAATTCCTATTCACAAAGTGGGATCGATTCAGTCTTTTGGCTCGTAAGTCGAGTTGAGCCGTTCACGAGTGTATGATACAATTCCTTTTTAGAAAAAATTTAATAAAACAAATCGACCTAACCCACGAGCCAAGCCATTAAAACAAAACGGTGTCTAGCTCAGCCCGTAGCTCATTTCAAAATGAGCCCGCACCATTCACGGGCGAAGCTGGGACGAGTCCGCTAGCGTCTTAGACCCATTTGTCACCCCTATTTTGAGGTGCCTTGCAATGAGGAACATCATAATTTAATTTAACATAGAATATTTCTTGTCCTCATATATGTTCAGACAAAGTTGAATTCATATTATTTTCTTTTGGCTAATAGCAAACAATGTGAGGAAAATTAGTTCTCTTGTTTGTCTTTTGCTTTTATGTTTCTTCACTGAGAGTGGACATCAATAATGCTCCACCTTGAAAAATGAGCAGCTTGGACACTTTTATGGTCCCTTCTGAATGAGCATTGACATGATAATTAAGGGGTGTAAATTGTAAAATAGAACTTGTTGATGGCTAAGCTTGAGCACCCAAGCCTGGTTTTGATGAATGTAAAAATTCAGTATATAAATTATTTTCATGAAGTTTTTCAATTATAATTATTTGAGAACTCTTTTTTTTTTAATACTAATTTTTAATCACACATTCACAT